CCCCTCAGGCGCCCACCTCAGCCCAGCCTCCCCCAACGCGGGGCTGCCCGGGGGCCAACAGCCCTGCACCCGGCGACCCAGCCCCGCCGCAGCGTTTTGGAGATGTTCAAGGGTAGGGGGACTCTTTCTGTGTGGCCACAGCCCATTCGGGGAGCCGGAGAAAAACGCATGCAAAAATCTCTGAGGGAGCAGGGGTTCCTCACTTGAGGTGTCCCTGGGCGGAGGCTGAATCCTCAGATACGTCCAAAAGGAGGAAAACTTGCCCCATGACAGGAGGGGAAGGACAGCAGGGGGGAGCGAGTCGCCAGCACCGCTGCCGCTGGGGCACGGCAGGGAGAGGAGGAGGAGGCCTGGTGCCAGGACAAGTCCCTGAGGAGCTGCTCGGGACTCGCAGGTGGGCAAGACGAGGTAGCTGCGGGGCCACCCCAGGGCTTCGGAGTACAAATAACATCTCACACTTACAGTCCTCTGCCCAACGGACTGGGTGTGCTTCGGAGCCCGGCGGCAGGCGCGAACGGGAGCCGCCACGGCAAGGGCCAAGACCAGGGAGAGGAGCTGCAGCTGGTGTCCGGAGTTTCCTACGCAGCATTTCCTCCTAGAGTACTCTTTGATTTAAAGAGGAGAAAATATAATGAAAGAGAGGGAAAGATTATAAAAGGCGGAGTTTGGGGAAATGTTTTTGAGTGATTATACACAGAGGTTCTCAGATTTGAGACCCTCATACTCACTGCGGTTTGGGAGAAAAAAGAAAGAAAGGGGGTAATTCCAGCAAGGACCTAGAAGGATAGAAACAGCCAGTTTCCCCAAAACTCAACCTCAGAGGCAATGTCAGATCAGGAAAACATATCTGAGACAAGATCAGAAGAGACAGAGCAGGGACTCCACGAAGGACATTGCCGCTGTATCTCTGGTGGGCATGAGGCACCCACAAATAACCATCGTGGCAGAAGAACTCGCTGGTTTACTCACTAGCTTTAAACTTCAAGTGTTAGATCAATGCAATCACATGGAAACACTTTTCCTGCAACTTAAGAGTGGCTTAATACAGTCTTAGCAAAGTGGAGCTGAAATAAGCTGATTAAACCTGAAAAAAAAAATGGATTAACCCCAATAAAAGAATGTGTTTGTGGAGTCTTTTGAAACCCCCTAAACAGAATCATATTAAAATCATATTTGCATATTAAAATCAGCAAAACAAGCCCTAAACTTGCTCTACAGAAAAAGGGAAACAGAAGTTGGAGCAAGGTCCTCACTGGGAAAGCCAGAAAACACCTTGATGAGTAGGGCCCTAACTGCCTGTATTGCTTGCAGGTCTCAACTGCGTTATCCGGATGCCCAGTGGATGCAGTTAACAGGCCTGTAATCTCAGGGAGCCCTAAAGCGTCAGGAGCAAAGGAGAAGCAGGGCAAGCTGCCTGTTAAGTGACTGTTTCTATCCGACTTGCTATCAAAAAAAGATACTAAAAAGGGAGATTACTTGTTCACGACCACACACAGTTGCTGACGTCATTTTCAGTTTTGAGAAGTCTGATCTAACCGCACGTTATGCAACTGTTGAATATTCCACACTGGCAAAATCTAATTTTCACACTCCTACATGCTATGTACCTGATTTTTATTTTCATTTTTAAATACCAACAGCCTACAGCAATCTTCTGCAGAGACTTAAATGGTCGTAATGGTTATAAAAGGTCCCAACTTCACAACAGCAGTTGTTTAAAAGGGGGAAAAGCAAAAATACAAAAAGTCAAGTCTAAACAGATAATGCACAGTAACAGATGAAATCAAAACTCAAGGGACAATTGCAGACAGAACCTAACTCCACAGTTTCAGCATGTGGATTGTATATCCATGTGCAAAAAGTATTCAATGCATTTTTCATCTATAACCCACAGTTCTTTTAAAGGTCACTTTTATAATAGAGATGTGCCAAGAAAATTAAAAAAAAAACCCTAAGTTGTAATATGCAAGCATCATGACATGGCCATTTAATGTCTGTCACTGCTGGAATGCATTAACTAAGTGCTTATCCAGGCTGTTGCCTGATTTAAGCAAATAATAATATCATATAAACAAATGGGTTTTTTTTTCCTGAATTAATTTAGATCCTGTGTAAATAGAATCTCAAACCAGTTTACAAAGAAAGAAAAGAAAGAAATTGAAGGCAGTCTTAGAGATAAAAGCAAGACTTGGGCTGAATTCTTCTCTCTCTTCCTTTTTACATCACTGCCAGTAATGAATCAAGCTTCTGTCTCGCTGGAATCCAATATATGACCTTGCATCACTCAAAATGTATTTAGAGCTGCTGAATAATCAGGTATGGAACACAATAGCATTTGTGCCTTTGGGCTTTTTTCCTTGCGAGTCTAATTTGGTGTCTAATTCCTTCCTACTATTCCACAAGGTGGGAAAGTAGAAATCACAGGAAAAGATTTTGATTTCATGCAGTCATTACCATGCAAGCCTCCTCAGCAGAAACCTGCTTCTGAGCAACACCCTTTCTAGTAGCTTTTTAATGCTTTTCAGATCAGTGTCTCCCAAGTTACTACAGTGGCAGTGAAACAACAGTGATCAAGTTACAGAGGTGCACGTGTCCTGCATACAAAATAGTAACCTATCTTTTTTTAAAATAAATATCTGGTCCCAAGAGTTATTATGCATATTTCAGAGATATATGCACTGACTGAACAACATGGGTTCAAAATTGTGGGCCAAAGAAAGATAATCTAGTTAAGCAAGAGAAGCTGTCATCACCGACTGGGTAAGATGCATGACTGACTTGAAGTATAAGAGCTGAAATTCATTTCAGCACTGCTGAATTTGTGCTGTATGAGCACAGGCAAGCACAAGTAGCCTGTATCAGAGGTTATATGAAATCCACTGGATTTTTTTCTGTGAATCAGGCCTGACTGACATGGTCCCTAAGGATACTGGCATCTGTGTAAAGTGATTCACTTGACTGCAACTCATCACAGGCACATTTTACCAGGCTGATTTACAAACTGCAGGAGCCCCATCTCGTCTTCTCTCTGCTCCACCAAGGAATAAAAGTGTATGTTGCTAGGAGTGCTGATAGTCCAAACTAGAAAAAGACTTGGTTTTTGTTTCTATGGTTGCAACAGCCCTTAAGAAAGATATAAATTTCCCTGCAACAACTAACTGCATATACATTTTAAGGTAGATCTAGTTCCAGATTCCTGAGACAGAACCCTCTACTTCTTCACAACCCCACACAGCCAGAGCAGCAATATAGAAAGTTTCTATTCTCAACAGAATTCAGTGAGCAGCACAATTGGTTTGGAAAACAAACAAACAAACAAACAAACAAACAAACAAACAAACAAACAAACAAACCAACCAACCCCCAAATCCACTGCAAGTTTTCAGCCTCTATGTACAAAAACAATGCAAACAAGTGGAACATTCTAATTATATTTTGTAAAACACACGTTTGGGATCAAGAAAACATCAAACATCCAGACTCTAGATTACAAAAATCTATTGCCATCTAGTTGTCAACCCCAAGTTTAGACAGTCCTTGTCGGAAATCATGTAATTCATCTATCTTCCCATCTAGTACATCTAAAAAATTCTTTAATTCAGTTTTAAGGTTGGTCTGCCTATGTTTGCTCTCTTCAACTTCTGTCCTTAGTGTTATGACCTTCTCTTCGAGATCTTTGTTCTTTTTCTCAGCAGCCTTGAAGACAAAAAAGACAATAACATGAATCATAGAGAAGATTGACGAATAACGTTTAATAGAATAAAGCAACAAATGGCAGCCAGATTGCAAAAGTTTGCTTTGACTTCTGCAATCTGATGAACACAAGCACCTCTGGAAGCAACTGACATGGGTGGGCTTTTTTTTTCTTTTTAATCTGACTAGCACAGGAAAGGGCACTGATTAACTGGAAAACACGCTTTGCATCAGATTTTGTCATTTGGTCGATATCTTAAAATTCAGCTGGATTTAAATCATGTACTGTGCATATATTTCTGTCATTGCTACAGCTGCAGAATTAGAGACCATGCTACCGATTTTATACAAAATTATCTATGGTTTAGCCTTGAAAGATAAGCTTAACAAAACACTGCCTGAGAAACAATGTCACTTTATTCAGTACTTTTGGATCTATTTGTATTTTTTTTTTTAAGTTTGACTCTACGCATGAACATTCAGGCCAAGTACAGGTCAGCAATGTAAAGCTTTGCAATTTGCTCTGTTTCCTTCTCTCATCACCTCTTCTGACTATTTCTGTCCATTTCATAGGAGTGCAAGCACACACGTATTCTCACCAAAAAACATAGATAACATATTTTATCATGCTGAATCAAGCCAAACTCATGTTAACGATTTGCAGTAGCTGCCACTCCCCTGCAGCCTTCCAACTGTTTTAGAGCATGCAGATTATGAGACTGATGGCTTATTTGATTGATTGGATTTGATTTCATTGTTTAGACTGCTTATATTGTTCTCCTTTCATATATTAATTTACTGCATTTAAACAAGCCCTGACCTTAACAAGCTATTGATCTGAGAAGTCCAAAGATCAGCCCCAAGCCGGGCAGGGCTCTTGGCACATCAGCTGCCGGAGGGATCCAGCACCATCTGTTCATCTCCAAGCTGAGGAGCCACAGGTGAAAAACCAAGCTACCTTAAGCGATATTTTGCCAAAAAAGGAATGAGGCAGCAAGGTTGCTGCTCGAGGGCCACACAGAGAGGGGCCGCCAGCTCCAGCCCATGGAGCGGCCGTGTCGGCACAGCTACGCAAGCCCGTAGCACCAGAAAGACAGGATACAGGATATCCTGGAATCTGCCAGGGGGAAGAGGCAACATGGTCCCAGGCAAGCCAATTTTTGTGAACAGCAAGGCAAAGAAGCAGAGCTATTTAATTACTCTTATGCTTATGGGGAAGGGCACAGTGCATTTTGCATGTAATTAGCATTTCTTGTTTTTACAAATTGAAGCTCTTTTGCCTTCAAACCCTGAAGTCTGAACAGATAGAAGTATATAGTTGGGAGAAAGGAAATAAATGTATCAACTATATTTAGATTGATTTCTTTGATAAACTGTACCTGTAATTTTTGAGATACAGATTCACATTCTGACATTAGCTGTGGTATAATTTCACCCTGCTTTCGGAGCTCCTCCAGTTCCTTTGAAAATGAAAAAAAAGAAAAAAGAAAGAAAAGAAAAAAAATTACAGCAAGCTTCAATTTCAATAACAATTAAAACACAATGAAAATTTGAGAATATGAAATGGCTCTGCATATTTTATTGTATTCTGCACAGTATTTGAATTTAAAAACATCAAAACAGCATGTCAGCATTCCACAACAGATGCTATTTTATATTAGAATAGTCTAAATTTTTGCACTACATTTTTAACTATGTACTTTCAAAAAAGACAGTGTAACCCAATCTCTAGTATGAATGCCATTAATGATATTAAGGAACTCTTGACCTAAAACATACCTACGCAAACAGATATTTGCATATCTGCAAACAGATATATGAGCATTGGAACAGGTTGCCCAGAGAGGTAGTGGAGTCTCCTTCCCTGGAGATATTCAAAACCCGTCTGGATGTGATCCTGGGCAACATGCTCTAGGTGACCCTGCTTGAGCAGGGAGGTTGGACTAGATGATCTCCAGAGGTCCCTTCCAAGCTAAACGATTCTGTGATTCTGTGATATATTCAATAAGAGAGAAGTGCCGTAATGCTACTAGCAATTTATAGATTGTAGCAAAGAGCAAATTAGACATGAATTTGCAATGAGATACAGCAGTAAAAAAGACCAATGGAATTATGAGCTGAATATATAGAAGCACCATTACAGAGTTCAGTAGGAACAGCCTCTCCTCTGCTGCACAGCCCTGAACATCACCTCCCAAAATTCACATTCAGTTCTGACATCGCTATCAAAATTGAGAGGAACTAGCTGAAAGCAATTCACAAAAACAGCAACATGACTTCATAGCAGATCATGTTTCTGATGGAAACTTAAGAGCACTAAATGTGTCAACTCTGCAAACAAACACCACCAGTAAGGGTGGTATGGAAAGACTCTAAGACGGCTGGTATGTTTTACGGAAGTAGTGTCACAGGATCTGAAACGCGTGTTTGCAGGTTCAAGAGAAATTCTGTCCCTTGAAGAGAGTGCAAGATTCTCCTCCAACAACTACCTACGTAGCTCACGCTCTCAAGAATAAACACGGTTAAATCCTCTCTGACCTGGAGGATACAGGACAGCAAAACCATTCCATTTTGAAAAGCAGATTTCCTGGCTGTGAAAACGTGACTCCTTCCCTAACAAGTGATCTTAAAGCACAGTAGGAATGTAATAGAATATATAATTCAAGCTCTTCCACAGAACCAGATAACAAATGAACTTTTTTCCTCAAAAATGTCAAATTCCTTTGCTCTAACTGGATCAATATTCAGCACTTCCAGTCCCACCCAAATTTCACAAGAATCTAGTGTACCATGAAGTACCTTTTTTCCTCCTTCTGAGGGTTTGCCAAAGCACCTTTGCCTCAATAAATTATATTTTTTGAGATATTCCATAATTCCTAGACAATTCTAACTATTTCTGTTATTTCCTTCCAGTTTTCCAGCATTTGTCTATATTAAAGTAGAAGACAACTCATGTATTAACAAAGATTTTTGTTGTGAACTGCACTGTGTCCAGGCAATGTCCCAGCCACTGAAGGGAGGAAAAGGTAACTCACTCTTTATTTTGAGATATGAACTCCCATATATAAGCATGCTTATATACATGTATATATGTACATGGGAGCTCACAATTCAACATATAAATATATTTTTTACTTCAGTGCCCTTGGTATGGTTCTGTGATTCATATTGCTTTTCCCAGATAGCTCTGTCCTGACTTAATGTTTCTAAACTTCTCTCTCCTTGTTTCCCACATGAACACAATATCAGTCGTTCTTCACACATGGCAACATTAATGAGCAGGCTCCGTGTTGGGTTGAACTGCAAACCATGAAAAAGTTACTTATGAGTCTAATCAAGAACTTGCTAATGTAAGTATGCAGTTTGAAAACAAGTTAGTTTGACAAGTAACGCTTGTCAAAGTAAGTGGAAGTTAGGCCTGTAATATTCACAAGTCAATTTTCCGGTTGATCTGGTACTGTAAAAATGTGCATCTCAAGGAAAATGCTAGCAGAGAATAAGGGTTATTACACATGCTATTACCACAGAGAGGCTGGGAAGAAAGCATGACATTTCCCTTTGAAATATGGTGCTGAAAACCATATTATATTTATAACACCGCATCAAAATCCATCTCCCTAAACTATTTCCTTGTGCCATCTTAAAACCCCTTAGCAGCACTGCTTTTAAGAGCACCAGCTGAGATGCTATAAAGGCACCGGGCAAACTTTACTGCACCTGCTGACAGCTTTTGCTCTTCAGCCAGCATAGAGCATTTGGTCACTGTAATGAAGGAAAAAAACAAGAATTCCATTATTTCCCCCATTGTTCAGGGACTCCAAGCCATCAACATCATTCTCCTTGGAAAAAATGAACACCCTGTCTGTCAAAAATGACAACCTGAGGTACTCTAAATGAATGTGAATTTCTCACTCTTGGCATTACTCTTGAGATCAGAGGGAGAGCAGTGAGATGACAAAGCTGAAGACTATGAGACACCTGGAAAAAGAAACAGGCATTGTTTCACTGATACCAAGTTATTTTGTAAATGATGTCTTTTCAATGACAACTCCCCTCGCTCCCGTTGGCTAAGGGAGCACAGGACAGACAAAATTCTGTTCTCAGGATGCGTCCGACTGGCTTTGGGCAACCTGTTTAACCACTCCAATGCCTGTATTAGGAGGAAGGTGTTAAATACAAAAAACTATCATGTTTGCTAACCCCAAAATAAACTGTGCTGTCCCACAGCATAGCACATCATGAAATTGAGACATGAACTCCAATCAAACTACTGCTAAAGAATGTTACACAGACGACCTAGGAAAGGGCAATGCCTGAGACATTGGTCTTTCTCTGACTGTACGTGAGCCGTTCCATAAATCTACACACAAAATTAGAAGCAGACAGACCAACCCAAATTTGAAAACGTATGCCACTTCTGTATTTATTTCACTTACCAGTTCTTTGTCTTGAAGTTCTGTTTCCAGTTCCTGGAGACGTCTGCTCAGCTGTGCATTTCTTTCCTTCTCTTTATTTATTTCATTGCACTGTTCCTCCAGTTCTTCAATCTTTAAGAAATGTCAGACATCAGTTGAAAATTTCAATTTTCTGAAAACTTGGGGCAGACCACATCTGATGTAAATGGGCATTGTTCCACTGAACACAGGGAAGCAAGGACAATTTTAATTTGTTATGGATCTGTTTCCCAGATTGTATCAGTCAGTTCAATGCATGAAGATTATCAACTTCTTTACTTTAAAAGAATCAATTTACACATCCACTAGGAAGTCCAGGGACCGTGTTTACTATCTCTCACACAGTATCGCATGTAATTACTCAAGAATGTGCAAAACACCAAGGTGCTAAAATGAGTAACAAACAGAGGCTGGGGATAAAATTTGCACTTCATTTCTGTGAAACCCATGTAAGACTATAATGGATGGGTTTTCTTAGCGACTTAACGCAGCAAGGAAAAGAAATCCCTCTAGCATTCCCAGCTTTGCATCCTCAGGGTTGGCTTATTATTTTAGCTGGAGTAAGAGGGACACAACATCAAAACTTTGCTAGAAGAACCAATTCAGAGTAACGTATGCTGCTTTGTTCTCCCACCCAGGGAATTGTTTTGCTGATCCGGTACCTCCTCTTGCCATCTCTGGCCTTAGCTCCCATGAGGTGCACTTCCCACAGGCCAATGGGCCACCTCATTAAAGTATGTATTTTAATTCTCAGCTTCTTGTTGCTTTGGGATTATAACTTCACTCATTTGAAGGCAGAGCAATATGCAAAAAATTCTGACCCAATTAATGAAGGAGAAGGAGCTTCCCAGAGCGCTGCAGTGGTGCAGTGCAAGTGCCTAACAAGAAACCTACTTGGGGGAAAGGCTCACAAAACTCTCTGCAGAGGAAAAAAAGCACATTATACAGACAGTGTTGCTGCATGACCCCAAACAAGTCTGGCTAGTCACTGTTACAGTAACCTTGCAGTCAGTTATAGTAAGGCCATGTTTTGATAATCTCTTCATCTCTACGCTACAGCCTTTGAGAACTGACATATTTCATCAGTTAATGTCAGTGAGAACAACTTCTCTGTAACAATACAGAAAAGCAAAAAGCTACATAGCAAATTGTGCTATTTTCTTATACAGTTCTTATCTTTCACCTCTGTTTATCTTTCCTTATCTGTTTAAGGAAAGGTTGTTCTATTTGGAATTTGAGTGTTGATACAAAAGTTGGGTCATCTCCAGTGCTGAAACACCCCATTTGCAGCCTACTGACATGCAAAAGGTACGAAATTCCTTCCTGTCTTTGAAAGTAAAACAAACACTAAATAAACAAAAAACCCACCAGACCCATATGATTTGATCTCTATACGAAATGTTCCAGTGATCCACATAAGTGAACAGGGAAAGGATCCAGCTTCTTCAAAGAAATTTAAGATGAGAGTGACATTACCACTGCCAGCTGTGCTCATGCATACCAGGTTCTACCATATTCAGGTTGGCGCTAACACTGTGTGGGGCGGTCACCTGCTTTGATACATAGCACCGTGTTATTTTAGTGGTAGCGCCAATGAATATTCTGAACCGAGGCTTTAAAAAATCTGCATTTATACTTCTCTCTTGTGGTTCATGCTCATTCTTGGTATTACACTACCGAGACATATGCTCAGCAAGAGAGGGGGAAAGGCTTTTGACAACACTTTTTTGCAGATTTTGGGACGTGATGTGCCCTGCGTGAGAGCTGGAAGACTGGGTTCTCAGCTCGGCCCTTCGGTCCCTCCTGCTGTTTGCACTTGCAGAGTTGAGAGCGTAACTCACGTTCTCGTTCATCTGCCTACCTATGGGATCTGCTTCTATTACCGAGTGCCTCCCAGCTTTATTTTATGAGTAACCATGCCATAACCATTCCTTCTGCTCATTCATCAACTGGCAATATTTAAATGAGCTTTGAAAGGAGTACGCAATAGTAACCTTTCTTTTAAAACCCTTCTGTTTTATCATCTTTGCCAGCAGCCTCTGCAGACAGACAACAAGTCTCCCAGATCAAGAGGCCAGAAGCTTCACGTGATATAGCAGCACGGGTCCTCCTGCTGATCTCCAGCCTTTTGAACTTCCTCACATGCTGTGAGCACAGGGCAACAACTCTCCCTGTCCACTTTCCTTTCAAAGACATAGTCTCCTAACACAGAAAAAAGATAAAGCAGCAGAAATCCTAGAGAAAGAATAAAGGAAGGAGTAACTAATTCAAAAGAGTGCTGTCTCCTGTGTGCATGCTCTGCCCCAGATGAGAGACGGGGAGCACATAATGGTAGCGTTCAAAGTGCTCTGGAGACAACTTTCTGGAGACAAGTTCATTTAACACTCTCATTACAGACACATTCTTTCAAGAACAAGCATTTGTATCTACATTTTAAAAACCATGGAAATTGGAACTTTGTGACTGCATCTCAGCATTGGTGCTGTTTTTGACCACCATCCTAAAATAACTGCGCTTTGACTTTTTAGTGCTTACTAAGAGGAGAACAGGCCCCAGGCATGAGGGTCCTCTGGCGTTCATCGGATTATAGTCAGCACGTTAGGGCTACCTTGTTCCTGAGTTGATCGTTTTCCTCCTTGCATGCCGAGAACTGTTTCTTCCAGTGCTCAATGCTGGCAGCGGATTCCTGGAGCGCCGAGGTCAGCCTGGCATTGCTCTCCCTCAGCGTCTGCAGCTCCGTCTCCCACTTCTTTACATTGGATGAACTGAGAACAACAGGATGCCATGAGGTGGCTTAACCTTTTAATCCTACATATTATTATTTTTACCTGACTACAAACTCAACCACCTGTGGTCTATGTCCCAATAATCTGCATACTCATATATATATAATTGCCTCTAGGCACTACCTTCCTAAGGAGAACATAAGCCTTAATTTGACTGTCTTTGGCAAAACAAAGGGATCAGTCAACTCCAGCAACAGAGACTGTGCTCTGGAACAAAAAGTCCTGCAGGGTGTAGGGTTAAGCCGATAGGTGGGACCTCCACCTTTTGCAAACCTGTGTTTTACTAGAGCATTCTTCACTTCTTCTCACCTCCAGAGCTGCATAGCTGTGCCTTGTTAGACATTGGCTGTATTTCAGCCCTGGATAAGTGGTACCTATACAACAACGAATCTCTGTATGTTTGCAGATGATGCTGGGAGCATTCAGATTGAATGATGTCGGAGTGGCTGACATTACATACCTTTATTTTTTCTTTTTTTATGTTCAATCATAAACTACAAAATTGTTAGGCAATTCTAATAACTGGAACAACTCATTCCACAAGCCTTCAAGCTACAGTATAGAGAAAGAGATTAGAGAGTGAATGGTAGGCTTTGAAACTCCTTATAAACTAGTTGCTACTTGCTTGTAGTGGTGTCTTCAGCAGTAGGAATGAGCAAGCATGATTTGAAATAGGTTATGCTATTGAAATTTCAGTAAAGAGAGATGATGTACTTCAAATATAACATACAAAACCTAAGAATTGCTCACTGTGTCACGCTGCTTATGTTGCTGCTGCTTGAATTTTTAAATAGCTTTTTAAGAGCAGCTTGATCCTGATAGGTTTTTTCTTTCCCCCCCTCCCCGTTCACAGATATATTCACATTCAAGAGGCAGACAAGGCAAATTAAATCCTGGAAAGGGAATTATGGTATTTTAATGTCATGACTTTGCACATTCCAACAACTACTGTATTTTCACTATGGCTACAAATTATTCTTCTCAGCATTTTCAAATAATTAATGAAAGCAAATAGCACAAAACGTGACTTCAAGGGACACTGTCCACAGCTTTAGAAACATCCCCCCAAAGACCTTTAAAAAACACAGTAAAGATAAATTTTTCATTTTGACTTAGAACAATTGAGTTCATTCCCTTTTGTAATTTTAAATATCCCTATTTCTCTTCATAGAAGAAGTAAACCTAATAAGCTCAAAGAGGAAAAGAAGATTGGTTACACACGTTATCAGGAGGAATTGCTCCCCCATGGCCTTGACGTTATTTCCGTAGCTGTATGCCGTCCCATATGAAGGAGGCCATATGAGCTGGTGTCACCGGAGTAAGAGAGATCCTATCTCATCATGGTCTAAATCGGGAAAAAACTAATTGGTAAACATCTCCCAACTGGATACCAGGAGGTGCTTACTAAAATCGGCTCATTCACTCGTTCTGCTGCATCATCTTAAATTTACGCAATTACATTTGAATAATCTCTGTTAATACCGCTAGCCATCAGATAATTACAGCAAACTATTTCAATGCAATTTAGGTATGGAAAGAACTTCACCTTTGGGCCAGAGCAATTTTTAATTTATCATTCTCAGACTTCAGATGTGCATCAGCAGGACCACCATGTGACGCCTTCTCGTCGTCTGTCCCATTTACACTGGATGCACGAGTGGAAGATGGTGTTTCTCGACCGGATTCCTGCCACACAATGCACAAGTTAACACTAGCCTTCTTTCAGCCTCAAAACAGCCTGGATTGCTTTGAACCAAACGCAGCACAACTGCTAGGAAAATGATGTAAATTGTAATGGTAGGCTTTCCTTCTTTTCAGCCAAAATGTGGTCCTATTCGTACTTTCAGATCAACTTGCTGGTGAAAATAAGTATAAACGTGCAGGACAGACAAGATATACTCAGTTGGACACTCACACTTTGTAAGAACATGACAATTAGGTACATCGCAATAGCTTCACTAAGCCTAGGGTCATTGTGTGACTTTTTGTGGCCACAGTCCCACATAGACCCACAAAGCCAATTCCTTTCAGAAAATGAAGGCTACATGGCCAAGGTGCTCTCTTGGGAACAGTAGTGGTTACAAACATACAAGCTATACGTCTAGAGTATAAAGCTAGTCTCTTTAAAAAGAATGAAAAAAAATGGCAGTGATATGCAAAACAGAAGCTTAAAACGTTCAAGACATTAAAAAAATGCTTTTAATTGAAAAGGCCTGTGTTTTCTAAAGGGTTTTCTGTTTGTCTGTTTTTTAAGATAATGAAACAATAAACCACACCCAGAAACACACAAAGCTCAAACAAACAAAAATAAAAGATACTGCTACTCTAAGGGGTTACATTCATGCCTCGCCTAGTGCTGATCACTAACACAAAACAAAGACGATCACAAAGGCCGTGACCAAAGTCTTAAAAAAAAAAAAAAGAGGATCCAAAGTCAGCCTCTCAGACCTATATTTGTGGACCTCACGAAGCTGGTTGTTTGCAAGGCTAAGCATTCAACAACTTCTATTGTCTTTTTCTAATCATGCAACTGCCTTTCTCCCTGAACAAAATTTATCTCACTTTCCTCCAAATACTAGCACAAGCCAAGAGCTTGCACTAAACAAGGGTTCGTTCTTAGCTAATACAGTGCTTATGAAATCACAGTAAAATGATTATAGGGGGACTGTGACAACACTTAGTTTCCTCAATTTGTAACAAAACCAGTTCTCACTGGACACAGAGGCACTTTGCTGAAGTAAGGCGTGCTGTCTAGAAAGGTGTATTATACAAACACGCAACATAAGCTTCTTCCACCATTCGCTAAAGTGTTGTCCTCCGTTTCTACATCACAACTTTCAATTCATCACATTCAGGCAGTGAACCACACTATGACCACAAAAGAAGTCCATGCATTTGCAAACTGAACTCCTACAAAAGTAGATTAGACAAGTGAAAAAAAGAAATAGCTCGATATATCTTATCGATTGTCTGCTGAAGCACTATACTGTGACTTACTTTCCAGTGATCCAGACTATGTGTAACAGTGCAAATCAAAGGATATATAGCTTTCCCTATTATTAAAAAAGTTATAACGGCTCAATAAGTGCTGAAAAAAATTATGTTGAAATGAACGCAAAGAGCATGGATGGATGAAAAATATTCCTCTGACAATGTTAATGCCCAGCAGCTGACAATTACCTTTGGCAAACTTCATTTTATATACTTTAAGTTTGCTGCCAGAAGCTGGTACAGCCCATTAGAAATTTAGCCTTAAATCATTTATCCTGTATGCATACAGGTATTAAGATAAATTACAAACCTGGGAATGATTGCTTGAGGTTTCAATTTTCTCTTGAGATCTGTCTCTTGCTAGTTTGGCAGCTTCTTTTACTTCTTGGAATTTCTCCGCAAACTGCAAAATGCATGAAAGATATTTATTAAAATGATATGTGACCTATCAATTCTGTTCAGATTAATATCTTTATACGGCTCATAGAAGTCTAAAAGTGCACGACTAATTCTGATTGTTTCAAACTGTTGGCAAGAAAAAGCATTTTAATTCTTTGGTTAAATCCAGGGCAGGTGCCTCCAAAAGGAATGGCAGCATTGCTTCCAAAAGAGGGATGACATCTCCATAGGTCTAGGTGATCTTAGTAAAAATAAAAACCTTCCGAGAAAAAAGAGCCATTAGCGCATCTTGATTCGATTTCTTTTTGTTTATTTTCTCCTTCTCCTCTGTTTCACTCGGTGCGGATAGTCTATTACAGTATAAAAGAGATGGGCTTAGATAAAAAATGATCAAACGGCTTCTGTTCTTAAGAGTAAGTCAAATTAAAGAATGCAAAGGAGTTCATGAGATAGCTGCAGGACTGCAAGCAAGGCACTGCGGAGAAGGGAAAAAAGGGAGCTCTGAACAAGCCAAGGACCTATACGTAAACATGGCACTTTTTGGTCTAATTTTTTTTTAAAGGGAGAAGACTTCAGGAAGAGAGAAGACTTGAATGCTTCCTGTAAGAGGGTTATGTCAAATTAGGGTAGGCAGAGGAGAGTAAAGCTAAAGATGAAAACTAATTAAATTATCCAATTTTTACAAATTGATACGGTAGGGTATCTGCTCCCAAGCCAGTCTGGCACTTTTGAAATGTATTATCTGAGCCACTGGGTGTGGCAGGGCTTGCACCACAAGCAAAGTTTTGAGGACTGCAAGGATGAAAAAAATGGCAGAAAAAAGGAAAAAACTAAGAAGTGTCCAGTATAAGAATGGGTAACTTCCCCTTTCTGCCAAAGCAGCTTAGTCTTACTTGCCTATATTTTGAGAAACTTGAAACACTAGAAAGGAAAGACACATTAAAAGTTCCTATAAATAGATCTCTCTTATTGCACACTTCCTGAATAAAAAGGATTTCTATCATATGCTCCGATAATTCAGATCACTTATAACAAAGTTGTAAATAAAAACAGGGGGAGGGACGAGGGAAAAGAAAAATCACACTTTATAGTCAAGGAATGAGAAGAATCATTATCCAGTTGCTAATATTATTTTCTGTCTTTTAGATTTATGGCTGAAATTTAGCATGCTTACTCTCAGTAAAATACCAGGACTATAAAGACTGATAAAACTAATATTCTCCCAATGTTCTAGGGGAAATCTGCATATGCATGTGGAGGTGCCTATATTCTTTATAAACACACAGAATGGAGATCGCCAACAAATATCCATATATCATTCTTAACTTCCCTGGGTGTGCGCATACATTCGCAAAGCCAAGCGAAATTTCAGGTGTTCCTTAAGGAGAGCTGTGGACTCCGATCTGTGGTGATGCTCATGAATGAGGATCGAGCTCTTGAATCCAGCTGCCTTCTACACAACGGCTGAAATTGCATATGCAAAGTATTTGCTATCTGTTGGGATGTGCAGTCAGCACACAAGTGATTTGATTATCTTTGTAGCACCGTAAAGATCATTAGGAACAACTTCATTACCTTGTGGCCTTGAGTCATTGAGCTCAAGTTTTATGTAAAATATAGCTTCTGCTGTAACAAAACATCTATAGTAAACTGATTATTTCTAAAATACTGTGTCAACAGCAAGTTCTATGCTTGGATTTTTTGCACATGGTTAAAGGGCTGTTTTGAGTCATTCTTTTACAATAAATCTTTATGGGAAGCATGAAAAATTTATGAGGGTTCTTCATGTGCTGTATGAAATATGAAAAGACAAAAAGAATTGGAAGCCATCTATCAAATTTTATTTTTGCAACTATCTTCATAAAACACCCAGAGGACTACTCTGAAAAATAATGCGAGCAGAGAAGAAAGGACATTTTCCATCATAAAAATGGTATACGACTAAACAAAGCTTATCGCTAATACAAACCTGATAATGATCTTATTTCACACCACATTTTATTCATGCCTACAGTTTACCAATACATTCATTTAATACATTTACTTTTAGCAACAAATACCGGCAAGTGATTTTTTCACCACATTAGAGACACATATTCAGCTTTAAGAGCCAAAATTAATTCTTACTATGGTAACAAATACAGACTCCTGTAACAGAAATGCAGTGAAACACTGTCTCCATTTGTTGTTTACTCCATACATGTGGAAATAGTCCATACAGAGTTCTGCTGTTCCTTCTTTATTATTCTTGGCTAATTAACACCTGCCAGATTTTACTAACAGTCTATATCTGAAAGCTACAGAGGTTCACTTGGCTTATTATGAAGTTAAAGCCTTTCATTTGATTATTCTTCTGAGTGCAGAATCATGACGGTGACAGCCTAAACTTCACAGCACCACCCAGACTAATTGCTACAGCAACGGACAAGGCATTTCTGATGGCTCCGAGAACCTACCACCACTGGCGATGGTGATGGCGCAGCCACCGCATCTAACCACTGGCAGAAAGCAGAGGGATGCTTTCTTGCCACTGACTGACTGCATTATGCCTCAAACACAAGTGAATGACAAATAATTAATACTGAAAAAAATCAGGTGCCATCTCCAAGATCCGAGCTGTCTTTGTGCTGTCAAACTATTACAACAACAGTGAGTGCTCTTTAAATTGGAAATTCCTAGTTAAAAAGAGACGTAGTCTTCATTTAGTAAAGGAAAACATGGTAAGCATAGTTTCAAGGGGTAATAGTGTGTGTAAACATCTGAAACCGACTAAAAAACATCTAAACAACCAAATAACTAAAAAATCATCACGTTCTTTCTCCTCACCATCTTTACTCCCTTCATCTTCCCTTTCCTCCTCATCCTTGCCCTTGGGCAGGCAAAGCTACCCGAAATTAGCAGAAGAAAGACGGGAATAAGAGAAACACCAACTAAACACCGCTGCCACACGAGCCCCAGCTTCACCAGCCAGTCATGGATTATATAGCACATCTTCCAACGCCCTGGGAAGCTGTGAGACCAAGTCGCAACATGGAAAAAAATGTTTTGCTCCCAATGCTCGTGAAGCGCTTTCAGTCTAAGGATGCTGCAGCACATGAACACTGCATTTGATTATGAATCTTGGCCAGTGACATTTAATGGGGACTCAGAGATGCTACTATATATTGCACAAATTATTTAAAAGCTGTTCAGATCTGGAGACAGCTTGTCACCCAGAGAAATACATACATTTAAACAGAGCTTCTTAACATTTTGTACATTAAGAAGCATTATATTCTATGTGTAAGTTTTAAGACTCTGATCTGGCACTATATTTTATTTCTCCTACTGACAAATCATGCCAGTGTCAGACACACGAAGCAGCTGCTCCCAGCGAAAGAAGGCTCATAAATGTTTCATCGCCCTCTCCCTTTGCAGGAAGGCCAAGGCCAGGTGACACAGCGGTCACAGCTTGCGAGCACTGCAGGCCCCTGGCTCACAGCTCACACGTGGCTGTTGCAGGGTCCCCTCAGGCCTAAAGTCCCAGGCGGGTCGGTGGCGGACAAGACTACTGACTCCTGAAAGCGGCTGGTAATTTGCACTAGGGTAACTGGGCTGCTGGCAGAGAGGCCCATCAGATGGAGGGGCCGTGCTGCTTATGCTTAACGCTGGGCAGGTAGCGCATGTGTAACACGCGCGTGCATACACTGAAATTAGAGGTCCAGCACTTCCCAGATGTTGGACATGGTTGCTTTATGAGGTGCAAAGCCTGTTTAAAGAAACTGAGAAACCTGCAGGAAGCTGCATTTTGAGTTTCTCACCTGTATAAATCAATGTCCCTATGCCCTCGCCTACCTGCTGCTCCTGAGATTGCCGTGTCTGTGTCAAAGCATACTGAATGACAGCGGAAATTTTAGTTAACGGCTTCTTGCGCAAAACACATCACTGCTTTCACAGTATCAGCCCAGACACACTAGTAACTCTGCTTTGATTTGCCTGTAGCAATGTGTGAATAATGTCTGGAGACCCTTCTGATGCAAGGATGGGAAGGGGGGAAGGAGGGGACAGCGAATCCTGGGAGGAGGAAGGAGGACCCTGACGAGGACATTAATTTAAGCACTGGGATACTCCCAAGCAATGTGAATGGTAATTAGGTTACTAGGTCACTGCATGCAGTTTTCATTAATGGCTCATGTTTAATTTGATCTGCTTGTCCCTATAGGTATGGATTAATGTCTAAATATCTCAAGAGAAACAAAGTATTAGAAAGAGGTAGTATCTTTTATTAGGTCAGCCAATATTCTTAAAAATGCACAAGTTTTAGGTGTGCTAACTTCTTCTCACGTCTTATTATTATTCAGTTTTCCACAGACATTTTTCAGATTTTTTTTTTTAAGCTAAGACTATTGATCTCTGGTTTAGAGGAGTTTTAGTGTATCCTCCCAGTTCCTGATTAAAAGCTTCAATTATTTCCAGTAAAGCTGGCAAGCTTTTATTTATATCTTTTATAAAAGCATAATGACATCAGCATAAAATGAAGCTTGATTTTACTATTCCCAGTACACTCATACTTCTGTAATCTCTTCATCATCACTGATCTTTTGTACTAATGGTTCAATAACTAAACTGAGAAGCATGGATGATAAGGGATAGCTTTGTCCCATCCCTTTGAAAGTAGTAATAACCTAGGTTTTCTAACATTTTATAGATAGACAACTGCTAGATTTTTTAAAATTATTATCTTGATCCCTTTCCCAAAAGTACCCCTTAAACCATATTTCTCCAGCATTTGGACCAGAAACAAGCTTTCTGCTGACTTTGAAAGCTCTTTTTGTACCTATAGGTATAGAAGGCTGTATGAGGCAATAGGCTACATCTACATTCAGCAGACAGTGCAGTGCAAACACATCTGCAAACAGGTTTGGAGGGTAAAACAGCTCGCAGAGGACCCTGCACCCACGCAGTGTGGGTTTCACTACGGGTTTACTTCAGATTGTCACCACTCTGGCCCCATGCACATCAAAGAGCTGCTGCAGGGCTTTCTGAGACCAGCACTGAAATTATTCTAAGTACGTATTTGGACAGTTCTGGAGACAATGGTAAAATCTCTCTGATTAGGAGGCAAGGAGCTCCAAATGTACATCGTGCCCAGCTGCCCCTGTGCCTGGCTCAGAGGCACGCAGCTCTGCACGGTGCACATTTAGTTCCTTCCAGGACCCAGGTACATGGAGTCACCTCTCACACTGAGGATTGATTTCTGTGATCCAGGATTAAAAAAAAAAACCTACCCTAAGGTGTTCATTCTTTCATTTGGTGTCCAAATGTTACCTTGTAGCACGCTTACCTATCACTTAAAACAAACTATATTCCCCTTGGTCTATTTCAATCCTCCCATATTCCCATACTACTTATTTAGTTGTTATAAACACCTCTCTCTCACGGGAGTGAAGAACGCACAGGTGTGAAATGAGCAGTCCTCTACATTTGATTAAGTCTAAGTCTCACAAAGCGTTACCATCAGCAGGATCTCATTTTTAAAATAACAGTTTTGCTTGTGTTTGATTGGGTGACCTTAACATCCCAGGACATGGCAGCTTTATGGACGTTCCAAGTCCAAAAATAATTCTACATGAAAAGTAAAATACGCTTTGCATTAAGAAATACTTGCCAAAAATGCAGCTTTTTGGAAAATGCAGTTCATATAACAAGTAATTCAACTGATGGAAAGGGTCTCCTTTAATTGCAATGGTGTGTCTGTGCTATTTTAGACATTACAAGAAACTTTTTGTTCTCCTGATTGTTTTCAAATCAAAGCATGCAAGAATAGAGCAACACAAGAGATGATCGTGTACCATGTCCAAGGACACAATGTTTAGTTAACTGATAAAACCTGGTGCCGAGTAGTCACGCTTAAAGTGTCAACTATGTCTTAGATAAGCAGCGCTTTTTACCGCATGAAACAAACATCTCAACTGCTTGATGAGCATTTGGCAAGACTACTAATCTAGAGACAGCGAATGTGTTTTGAACTGCTGGTTATTTATTACATGAGACAGCTCTAGACTTCACAAGCCTGACACTGTAGCCAGTCTCTGCTGAAAGGGAAGAACTGCATTAACACCAAGTGCATACTTGGGGTGTAGTTCGAAGGGATTCTGGCTCTGACAGCAAACTTGGCTTTTCCTGGCTCCTCCTTCCCACTTCCCTGTCATGAGTCACAGTCATCTGCTCATTTCTGTGACAAAACAGCTTCGGGTCTGTGCTGCAAAATGAGGTTACTGAACTGAAATGCCAAAGAAGTACTAGTATTTTAACTCAGATCAGTTTATCAGTGCTACTGAGAGACTGGCCCAGCGAACAGTTTTATCGGCACGGCTAAGGAAGACAGTAAACTGCAAAATGAAGGCAAAAACAAGCAAGGAGGGCTGAATACTCATTAGCTAGTTTAGCCATCAACAGCAGCAGTTCATCAAAACACAAATTTTGAAGCTGGGACAGCAACCCTCTTCTTTCAGTCCCAAAACTGCAGGTCTATGCTCCTTGAGCTTTTATGATTCTTGAGAGCAGACACCACCTGAATACTTGAATACTGGAAATTCGGGGTTCAGTTCACTCTAACCCATGCTCCCGCTCAGGACACCAAGTCAAAGCCTTCTGTAATCCACAATAATGCAATTCTGTGTGATGGCAGAAGTCTATTCAATAGGAATTATTACCAAAACAAAGATAACGCACAGAACTGAAGCTAGAAGTGCCCAGGCAGCCTTAATGCTGACAGTTCCTGGTATATTAGGGGTTCACTTTGCTTTGCTTTTAGTGCCACTTTCATCTGGAATTACAACATAGGGCAGGGGGAACAGTGAAAAATACTACAGAGTTCAGATTGTTTCAGGAAACATCCGAAAACACAAACGCTGTCAGCCAAACTTGGCAAGATATCATCAAGGTCACTTCACCATAACCATCATCAGTGATCAGATTTGATTTATAGTTTTAACCGTAAAGTTTGTGATGCTGCCCGCTTCTACAGATATAGACGCTAGATAATTATGGAAAGTGGTCAACTTGCACTGGCTGAAATGAAAAGGACTTGCAGAAATATTCAATTTAGAAGAGATTCCTATCAGATGGGTATGTACAGTTCCAAATTCTTAAGAAACAAGACAGCCTTTTCAGAAGTAAAGTGAGCCCAGTTACCTTTGTCAGCTGCTGTTCAGAAGAAAAGCCCAAACCAAATACAGTGTTTGCTCTGCTGTCCGCCCACTGGCCAAATTTCTGCGATGTTTTAGTAAAGGTCATATTAGGTGTGATTGTGCTGTTTATGATCACCTGTTTAAAAACAGATCAAAAAAGAATTAAAAAGTAGAAGCCACACTGGAAATGCATATCCTAGCAACAATATAATTCAGAGCAATAAGCAATCTAAATTTGGAAAATGCTGTATTTATGAAGAATTCTTCCCCTTTACGAAACAGTTTCATGGTTTGTCTCAATTCAGGCATTTTTAAACTTTGTCTTCTTTTTCCAAAGTACTGTCATGGTCCTGCAGTGAAACCTCGCTGCAGGAACCTCACTGAAACGGCAACTCAGAGACACAGCAGGGACACAAGCGGTATTTGGCCTCGGCCTGCCACAGAGTAGGATGCCCGAAACACATCAGACCGGGGAAAAAAACTCACAGGACAAGAAGAACCGGACAGCTTATTTAATAGTCAGGTTAACTTGGGAGGGTGGTAAAAGACATTGACAGCAATGCACAGGTAGTGTCAAACACAGGCCTCTTCAGGATAAAAATTCTGCTGCTTTTACACAGGTTAGCTAATACCTACTCCACTACTAGTATCCTCGAAAGCAACAGCGGTTTGTCTAATTAAAGAAATAGCCAACAAGAGGAAGGCTGGTGGGAGGAGGTCCCTGAGGAACTTAGTGGAACAAGCATACAGTGTAATCCTACAAAAAGGAGTGAGATATGTGTCAGCTCATTATCAAAAATCTGAGCTTTCTTTTCAAGACACATGATTCTATGAGTCTAGAGACTTTTTCCCTCGGAAATGAATTCCTGCACAATGTTCTTTTTGCCAACAGAATAGGAGCTTTCTTTAGTAACGCGTATCGTCATTTCCAATATGCAAATTATGCAGTAATTAAGCCAAATCTGTGGGACAGTTTAATTAACATGATCAGGAAGTACCCTGGCAACATCATTTACTATGTATTCCAAGCAGTTTTTTTCCTAAGCTATCATTTACATTTAGCAAAAAGTGTGAATTAAATTTACCAGAGAAACGTCCTTATTTGCCTCCTTTCCCCTCCCTGACTTCCAGCCTGTGCCAATGCTTTTATTTTCTTTCTTACAAATTGTTCAGCTTCAGTGATTCCCTCTTTTTATATCATTGCTTTCAAATAAGCATAACATTTCCTGCAATTTGCATTGGCATGGTTTTTGCATCACCTTACAGCATGCAAAATTATTACTGATTCTGAAGGAGTCTGAAAATACTCCTTCTGAAAGTTTTACCAAAAGGATCAAAACAGACCAGGTGGATGATAGCCATAAAGTTGTTTTCCGTACGGAAAGAATCAGGATAGGAAAGGTGATACCTTACCCCCGATGATACCTCGGCCAGAGCAGCCGACGCACAGCGGCTATATAAACCTGCTTCCAGAATGGAAACGTTTTTACAAGGCTGGCTCATAGGTGGAGGTATAAATAGCGCTGCCCAGATAAGCTCTCCTCTAGGCAAGTCACCTAACGGAAATGCAGCCCATGTAAAATCTTCCACCTGAAAGGAATCAAAGCCCAAGTGCAATTTCAGGTATTTAAACTAAAGGAAAATTAAAACCTTCAAAGATTTTAGGTACGGTTTTGACAATTCAAAGGAAGCATGACAATATGAGGAATGTAGGATACAACTAAGTCACAAGAAGGGGAGGAAACGCCACTCATAATAATTGGGATGTTTTCCAAAACCTTTAAGGAAAGTGCTATATGTATATTCCTTCTTTAAAAATCCTACATCAGACACAGGAACTACTTTAAAATGTTTAACTTGTCAAGTTATAGAATTTATTTTAGAAGCTCTGAAATATCCTGAAATATCCTGAAATTTCAACTGCTAAAAGTATTATTTCAATCCTACTGCGCATATCAAATTAGGTATCTGTGGAGTAAAAGCAACAAAATGACCCCTTTCACTGAAAGGCAAAAGCCTTATTCACTGCAAGCAGATAACGAGAACTATAATTTTTTTCATACCTCCTACAATAATAATTTACTAAAAATATATATAAAGAAAAAAACACAGCAAAGATATCTTTTAGACCACAGTCCAATAATATGAAACAAGTGATAAAGGAATAATAAAGTCTGCAAATTGTAAACCAAGCAACATCTTATTTAGCAATGAAACTAAAAGGTTAGCTTAGCACCTCAGAGATTAATTTTTTCTCCAGCCAGAGCCGCATCCCAGAAAAGGTTGTGCTGATCAGACACCTTCAAGAAATTGACAGTTCGTCTGTTAAATTTATAATAAGCTGCAATTAGCGAAACTGCCTGGAAGCCGTCTCTGCCTTTTTTTTTTTTTTTTACCCCCCCCCTCCTCTGTCAGTCAAGCACTTCCGAAAGCCTGTGTTCCCATGGACAAGCGGACACCTCGGTGAAAGCTGAGGAGATTAAACCAGAGCTGCGTGGAAATGGCTCGGAGCAGTTGGCCCCTGGCAGGGATACTGCGCTGCTCTCCTGTCCTCCCTCCTCATCCTCACCCCATGAGCTCCTCAGACAAGCAGCAAGACGCTATTACACTACATTTCAGGAGTATTCAGCCTGCAGGTTCACCTAACCTGTAAATCCCGTAACCTCTTATGAACAGAGACGCTACTTTCTCCAGGGAACAATCATGTTGGTCATATTTAGGAAGGGAGCACGGGCTCACAAAAAAGCATCGAAAAAAGGAGACAGCTGGCATTATTTCAGACAATCATAAAAAGCGGGGCTTGGAAGGGGCCCTGACACGTAATCCAGTCCACCCCCTGGCCAACAACGGCTACGTTAAACTGAAGGAACGTACTCCTGCCAACGTCTTCCTCTCCCTGCCACGATACCTCTCGCCCAGGGAGAAAGCAGGGGACACGTTTGCGACTGCTGCAACAGAAACTTTCAGCCAAACTGGGAAAATTCTCTTTTTTGTTGAAAGAAAGAAATAGAATTTTCCAGTTTCAAAGGAAGGACAAAGTTGAGAGAAATAGCGCAGAACGGGGAGGTCACTGATTTTAAACCTGTTCCTGACACAATGGACTGGTGGGCTCTTCTCCATCCGTAACATCAACCTATCCATCTAACCCAATAAGAAAAGGCAATCCAGCAATTCAAATATGCTCTTAGGAAATAACTTTGCATTTGGTCCTCATTCTTACAACACACATACAACGGAATTCTAGCTGCCTCAGAAAACTGAATAAACCTGTGGACTTTTATCCAGGATTAATGGATTCAAAAGCCAAACAACTCTCTAATCAAATGTAATCAATCCCTGAAGTGGTTAAAGAGTTCTCCCTAAAGACAAAAGCAAAGATGAGCCATAATATAATAAGCACCTTACAGAATAATAAACTCATTCATCATACTGACTGAGCTGAGGTGTCTACATATGGTTAAAAAAATAAAAATTTGCCTTTGCTCTCATCTACATGCAAGCGTATCAGATGGTGAACGTTCCCAATACATTTGCATAAGCCAAACAAAATCTCATACTAATTTCACTTCCTTTGGGGGAAAAACAGTCCTGATAGATCTACATTTTTATTTAAAGATGACACAGAAGAATTTTCACAGTACAAGGTAATGCTATATCAACCAGAAATGACTCTAGACATTTAAAAAACGCACTGGGTATATTCACCAGATAAAAACGAATGTGAATAAGCTGGCATACAACATTCATACAGTGTAACACACCCATCTTGCTGCCGTCCCAAGGAAAGAAACTGCCAAATAAATCAAGCAGAGAGGTCATAAGGAAGCCTATGTGCTTGGAAGAAAAAAATATATTAGCAGCTCATGCTGCTCATATTATATGAGCAGTGCACATATATACAGCCGGCTTTTATTTCAGGAGATGCTAATGTCAAAGGACTGCCAGTATTTACAGGATTCCCTTCCCTAATTCCCCGCATCGCAGGTACGTATTACAACAGCGCACTAGGGAGAAAAAGTCAGCGTACCTCCTGAAAATACGTTTTCTCATATCACTATTTTATTAATTGAAGGTGGATGTGAATGTTAGCTGGCTGGCAGGACAGACAGACGAGAGCCGGAGGAGCGTACTGGAGTTTCGCCAGCTCAGCTCAGAGCAGATGCCCCGGCAGCATCATCTGCAGCTCGCCAGAGCGACAGGAGGGACGAGCAGAGACAAGAGCAAGCTCTGCTCCGAGAGAAGGAGAAAAACGGTCGTGGCGGGCACTTGGCAGACCCAGTGGCACGCTCACAAGGAGGGTGAAGGAGTGAGTAGGAACAGGTCAGCGCACTTCCTCTGCTAAGACAGCCAAACAAGGGATGAGTCAATCCACCCAGGCCTACTCTTATTCCAGGACAAGTGTGCCAAATTAGGAATTATTCTAGAATTTCCCCTTTAAATCACCTACTATTCTGGAGCAATTTCATCTCTAGAAAAGCTCTAAGGCATGAAGCCATAGCACCTGCTCATTAAGTAGTGGCTACGTCAGCTAGAGAGCAAAAATCTCCCCGTTTCATTTTCACACCTCTGAATATGTGCTTTCCACTTTGCAGCCCCTTGCGAAATGTAATTTCCCCGACACACCAGGCTGCTAATCTTCAATAAAGATGTATCTCAGTCTAAAAACAGAACTGAAAAAGGAAGAAGCTGCCAATCCTCTGGCCACAGCTATCACAGGCTCAGCAGGTTCTTCCAGCTCATCAAGGAAACGTGAACTAGAAATGCTTGCAGCACCGGATATGAAGATGAGGAGGCAGGGGTGGATTTGCAGAGAAATACTCCCTCCGCTCCAAATGTTCAGCAACTCCCTCATGGAACATACCCAGCCACGTTTCCATGATTCGTGCTATCCTCTGCCACCTACCATCCTTTGCATCTCTGCTGACAGCTTCAAGACTTTGATGTGATGTCTGCTCACCGATAAATGACTGGTCTAAGGAAACAGAAGCTGGACATTACACATAAATAAATTTATGCACAAAACATGGCAAATTGTTTTATGATGAAGGTGCTAAACTCTACATATCGTCTCTTTTCAACTAAACCCAGAAAGCCACTGCAATCTGCAGTCTATTCTGGCACCTGAATATCGGATTG